TTCTCACCTAGTACACATGAGGACAATCTGTGGGAGTGGTTCTCACCCTCCACCGTCTGGGTCCTGGGAATTGAATTCAGGTTGTCAGGCTTAGCTACAGGCACCCTTATCCCCTGAGCCATTTTGCTACCCTCCAAATATTATTTCAAGTGGCTTTTCTGGGCCAGTGAGACGGCTCAGGGGTAAAGGCACTTGCCCTGATAGCCTTGTGGCAACGGTAGATTTCCAGAACCCATGTAAAAACCAACCCCATGGGTCAAGCCGTGGTGGGGAATGCCTTTTTTTTTGTTTTGTTTTTTTTTGTTTTTTTGTTTTTTTGTTTTTTTTTTTTTTTTTGAGACAGGATTCCTCTGTGTAACAGCCCAGGCTGTCTTGGAGCTTGCTTTGTAGACCAGGCTAGCCTCAAACTCAGTGGTGTAAGCCTTTACTCCACTCGGGAGACAAGAGGCAGGTGGATGTCTGAGTTTGAGGCCAGCCTGGCCTATACATCTAGTTTCAGGACAGTCAGGGCTACACAGAGAAAGCCTGTCTCAAAAGAAGAAGAAGAAGAAGAAGAGGAGGAGGAGGAGGAGGAGGAAGAGGAAGAGGAAGAGGAGGAGGAAAAGGAGGAGGAGGAGGCAGCAGTAGCAGCAGCAAAATAAAAAGAACCAATTCCACAAAATTACACTCTCACTTCCAGATGTATGCTATGACACACGTGTGGCCACACACAAATCATGCACACACTCATCCACACACAAGAGTAATATATTTTTTAAAAGTAATACATAAAAAGGGGGTTGGTGACATGGCTCAGCAGGTAGAGGCACTTGTGCCTTGGCCTGCAACCTGAGTTCAGTCCCTGGGACTCACATGGTAGAAAGGATCACCCTCTATGAGTTGTCCTCTGGCATCCAAAGGAAAGCTCTGGCATGTGTGCCTGCCCCTCCCCGCACACAATTAAATGTAATAAAAAATTAATTAAATTTTAAAAAGAAACAAAGTGCTTAGCTGGGATTAAAAATAAAATAAAGTTTGTTTTAAAATAAAAACTAAGTTAGAATACAAAGGAATGGGTTTCGTTATGGCATTATCATCATATATGCCACACGCTGTTCTCAGGTGGTCCCCTCCCTAAGCAGGGCACAGTGTCACACACACAAGGAATCCCAACACTCAGGAGGCAGGAGGATCGAACTCAGGAGTTCAAAGCCATCCTGAGCTATACAGTGAGTTTTAGGTCAATCTTGGCTATGCTGCATGACTCTCACCTCAAAAAATAAATTAATTAAAATAAAATAAAAAATAAAAAGAAAGAAAGAAACGAGATGAGTATTCCTCTCAATTTCAGATCGAAGGACACCAAACAGTCAATTAAATGTAATAAAATGTAATAATGATCTCAGGTAGGGAGGGAGGGAAACATCCATAAATTATATAACTGGGGAGCTGGAGGAAAATGTGAATATAACCTATAGTAGAATTCTCTCAGTAGGAAATGTCCTAAAAGTGATCATTGTTCTGTGGTGATGAAAGACAATGTTTTGTTTTGCTTTGTTTTGTTTTTTCCTTTTGCGATAGAATCTCTCTGCATAGTTCTGGGCTGTCCTGGAACTTGCAAGGTAGACCAGGCTGGACTCAAACTCACAAACTCACAGAGTTCTTGTCTCTGCTTCTCCAGTGCTGGGATTAAAGGTGTGCGCTACCACCCCTGGTCCAAAAGGTGGTTTAAAAAGTGCAAAATGCCACCACTGAAAAGCCATTACTCATAAACTTGCTATATCCAACTGGCATCATATCCAGGGACGCGGGATCCACATTTTCAGAAAGCTGACAGTTTAAACGGGCAGGTAATGCATTGAGGTGTTACGGACCTGGTATTAGCTTCCACTCCAGCCTTGGGGAGGCTCCTGCCTTGTGTGGTAGTAGCACCCCTAGGATACAGAGAGTAAAGAATCCAGAGAAGTACTGTCCTTCCATTGCTATATACAGATTTGGTTGAGCTGGGTAAAGCACTCTGGTGGGTTTGAATAGTCAACCTCGTTCTATACAGATACCAGCAGAGGGCGCTGCACACCCAGCTAACTGACACGGCTGCACCCAAGGGCTCCGCTCCCCGGTAGAAACAGGTGGAATTGCTGAATCACCCAGCCGAGAATCTAGGATCAGGCCTCTTTGGTGCCCGCGTCTCGTACTTCTCAGTCTTTCCCTCCAGACCATAAGCTCAGACAACGTCCGACTTACCTTCTGTCTGTGTTCTAGGTAGACCGGACAGAGGAGAGCTGGGCAAACATTAACAATTGTTGCTATTTCAGCAACTGTGTATCCACCAGAAGTAGCCAACTATAACACTAGAGCTACTACATTGGAAACCGAAGTGCTTCCTCCAACACGCACCTCCTCTTACAGGCTCCTTTCGCATCCCAGACCAGTGAAATACTTCCTTCACGGAGACCCCATACAGGATTAGAGCCTGGGAAATCCATCCTCCATGTGCACGCCTCAAGCCCCAAACATCTGTCTTTCAGGAGACAGGGTCTCAAGATCCTTGCCACCCACAATCCCAAGAGAAGCAGACAAATGGCCGAAGGGACTCACACTCCAGCTGGCACCAGGGGCTGGAACTTCCACTGCTCCTCCTCACAGTCCAGGAAGAGCCGGTTCATGATCTTGTTCTTCTCCTCAGGTGGGATGAAGTTCTCAATGATGAGGTACCTGGGAGCAGGAATCAGACAGAAATGGGAAGGGGAGGAAGAGACCCCGTCACAAAGGCAACAGAGAAGGTGGGGGGGAAGGGGTGGAAGGGATGCCATCACTACAGAAATAATGGAACTTGTCGGTCGGGCAGTGGTGGCGCACACCTTTAATCCCAACACTTGGGAGGTAGAGGCAGGCTGATCTCTGTGAGTTGTAGGACAGCTTGGTATACAGAGCAAGTGCCAGGGCAGCCTCCAAAGCTACACAGAGAACCCCTGTCTCAAAACATCCCCCCCAAAAAAGAAAAAGAATGGACCTCGAAGACCACTATTTCTAATGCAAAGATTGTGGGCCTAGGGCCTTTTGAGTTATTTTTGACCAGTGCTCAGCCTACACTTTGGCAGAGGAAGGCAGAGCCATCAAACTAGACTGAGGAAGTGAAGCAAACTTAAGAGCTGGCCTGTCTCATGAGCTCCAGGTTCAGTGAGAGACCCAGTATCAAAAAAAAAAAAAAGTGGTGGTGGGGGGAGATAGAGAAAAACTCACCAATGCCATACCCTGGCCACCACATGAGACATACAAGCTGGGCAAGGTGGCCTACACCTGGCAACCCAGTAACTGGGGCGCTGAAGCAGGAGGATAGCTGAAAGTTCCCAGACAGCCTGAGCTACAGAGTAGGACCCTGTCTTAAAAAACAAAAAAACAAAACAAAAAACAAAACAGAAACTGAAGCCAGGCAGTGGTGGTACACACCTTTAATCCCAGCACTCAGAAGGCAGAGTGGCAGGTGTATCTCTGTGAGTTCAAGGCCAGCCTGTTCTACAGAGAGTTCCAGGACAGTCAGAACTGTTACACAGAGAAACCCTGCCTTGAAAAACCAACCAATCAACCAACCAACCAGTCAAACAAACAAGAAAACCCACAAGCACTCAAAAAAAAAAAAATGGACACTTAAGTGAGTAGATTATCAAAATATAGCTTTCAGAAGAATCTCGCAGAGAGGCCCTGAGGAATTTGGGAAGACAGGGGTACCCAGAACCAGAAGAGGAGCCAGCCCTACTTGAGCTTGAGTTCCCGGGTCTGCTCATTCTGCGCCTCCTCCAGGTCCTGCCGCACACGGATATACTCCTCGTGTTGGTCCTGGATCTCAGCCTTCACCGCCTGCAGCTTGGCATAGAGCTGGACACACACAGGTGGGGCTCAGAGGCTGCTCAGTCAGGCACCAATCACCCAGCCTGGGCTGTACAGGCCTAGGCTCAGAATGAGCTCAGAATGGCTGCCCATCACTGTCAATCAGGATGGGCTGTCCCACCTCCCTGTGGAGGTTTGGTCCCTCCCACCCACCGAAACCTTAGGCTGTTACATGCTGCTCTCTCTCTCTCTCTCTCTCTCTCTCTCTCTCTCTCTCTCTCTCTCTC